ACAAAGAGACCCCCAATACACCTAAAGTTCCCGAAGCACTGTGGGATGCCCTCCGGGAGATACCAGTTCTTTCCCAGATTTACAGACTAGCCAATTGAACCGATAAGGAATGCTGGCAATAGAAGACTGAGAACAGCACATACCTAAAGCACGACAAAGAGACCCCCAATACACCTAAAGCGCAACAAAGAGACCCCCAATACACATAAAGTTCCCGAAGCACTATGGGATGCCCTCCGGGAGATACCAGTTCTTTCCCAGATTTACAGACTAGACAATTGAACTGATAAGGAATGCTGGCAATAGAAGACTGAAAGCAGGACGACAAGGAGGGGCGGGAGGACAGAACTAGTTGTTGGTCGGCTGAGTACGGAGTCAATGAAAGGAATTGCCAGAACATCAACGTCGACACAACGACTACAAAGAGGCAATTCGCAGACCCCTTCTTTTTCTGAGTGTCCTGGTCGCTTGTGTAACAGAATCCTCAAAACCTTTCAAGCAACCAGTACACAACGACAGACCCCCCCCTCCTACCTTGTGACCCCTAATGCAGGGCCGTGGTCAGTGTCCACCTACTGGACACGTAGAGCTGGTAGCCCCTCAAAACAGGCCGGGCCCTGCAACAGTTTGTCATTCAACGGCTGGCAAATTCTAGCATCAGGAAAAACCGGCTCAGATGTACCACTGGCCGTTGGAGGCAGACATGCCGGCAATCCACAGTGTATACACCAGGCAATCCAACAGGCACAACAAAAAGGGAAAAAAAAAAAAAAAAAAAAAACAAGACACCGTAACGTTGTAGTAACCCAAAATCACTTTGTCATCGCAACAAGCAATCAATGCCGTCCACCCTTGACATCAACACTTCCGTCTCTCTACCATATTAAAGGGGAGAACGCTGAGCAGCGTTGGAGTGTGTTGTGATTTGTGACTTGCCGGTGAAAAATAGGAACTGGATTGACGCTCCCCAGAATGGACAGGGAGCCGGAGCCAAAAGGGTCAGGTTTTCGTATTAAAAAAAAAAAAAAAAAAAAAAAAAAAAAAAAAAGA